CCTGGGATCATGACCTGAGCCAAAGGCAGACGCTTAATGACTGAGCCACCCAGGCGCCCCAGCATTCTTTTTTTAAAATTTTTTAAAAGATTTTATTTATTTTTTTTTATTTGAGAGAGAGAGACACAAGCAGGGGGAGCAGCAGAAAGAGAGGGAGAAGCAGCAGGGAGCCCGATGCAGGGCTCGGTCCCAGGACCCTGAGATCATGACCTGAGCTGAAGGCAGATACTTAACCGACTGAGCTACCCAGGTGCCCCTCTTTTTTTTTTAAGATTTTATTTATTTACTTGACAGAGAATGTACAAGCAGAGGGAGTGGCAGGGAGAGGGAGAAGCAAGGGAGCCCAATGTGGGACTCCCATCCCAGGACCCTGAGATCATGACCTGAGTTGAAGGCAGACCCTCAACTGATTGAACCACCCAGGTGCCCCCATTTTAGCGTTCTTCTTTGATTTTTTTCTTTATATTTAGAGAAACAAAATAAGGGCAATTGGTTTGGATTTTTTTTTTTTTTTAACTGTTTGTATGGTGCTGTTTTTGCCAGGTTTGGGCACCTGGATTGTTCCAGTTTCTCAAAACACATCGGATAGCTTTCCATTTTTTTTCTCTACACTGAAACTGATTTTATAGCATGAGAGTTACTTTCGCATTTCTCTTTTTTTTTTTAAAGATTTATTTGAGAGAGAGAGAGAGAGAGCATGAGTGGGGGCAGGGGCAGAAGGAGAGGGAGGTTGATCCCAGAACCCTGAGGTTCATGACTTGAGCCAAAACCAAAAGCTGGTCGCTTAACCAACTGAGCCAGCCAGGTGCCCCTTGATCATTTCTCCTAATATACTGTTTCCTGTGATTTAAAAGGTTAAATAGCTATCAGATCTTGTATCTTCTGAGACATCCATTTCAACTTTTATCACTAGAAGATCAGAAAGAGTCACAGTTGGGCACCTGGGTGGCTTAGTAAGTTGAGCGTCCAACTCAGCTCAGGTCATGAGATCCAGCCCCATGTTGGGCGCCACACTCAGTGGGGAGTCTGCTTGAGAGTCTCTCTCCCTTTCCGTCTGCTCCTCCCACTCGTGCTCTCTCTCTCTCTCTCTCAAATGAATAAATCTTTTTTAAAAGAAAAAGTCATAGTTTCATATTCGGTTTGTCACAAGCTCTATATGTTCTTGGAATTAAATACTATCAGCTCTTGAGCCTACTTTCTGATACATGGTTTAGTCTGGCCTGTTCTTGACCTGCCCATCTAACAGTGTCTGTCCAACTGCTTTATAACCAGCTGGTACTGAACATTTGAGTGTGTGGTAACTCAGCCCACAACCCTGCCCCAGCCCTCCTTTCTTCTCTCCTAGCCAGGACATCTCCTTCAGGTAGAAATGAAGGATGTTCTTGAGTTTCTAAGCTGTCTTTTGCTGCCTGGCCTCACCATACCGGAATTGTAAGGATTCGATCCAGCAGAGCTTTTACATGATATTCCCCCCCGCCTTTTTTTTAAAAGATTTTATTTATTTATTTGACAGAGAGAGACACAGCGAGAGAGGGAACACAAGCAGGGGGAGTGGGAGAGGGAGAAGCAGGCTTCCC